ATATAACAGTAAAACAATTTAAAATATATGGTTATTATACACAAAATATGTCGATTTATCTAACCATCACCTAATCGTCTTTTTCGAAAATATTATTCATTGCTAATATCAACAAGTAAAGTTTTGAAGCTGCTAAAATAACACTCTCTAATGATTTTATGATAAAAACATGTTGCTGAAATATTTTATTCACTACAATAAAAATGATCTTTTACAATACATAAAAGACAACATTCGGTAATTTAATGTTGCTAAATGTATCTATCGTGACATTCTAATAAGTAAATGTTGCCATTGATTAACATAATTGAGAATTGACAACATTTTTTAAATGGATGTTGCTAATGTTGTCTTTTGCAACGTTTATTGAGTGTTTGCAAAAAAATTATTTATTGCAATGTTTAGTGGGTGTTGCTAAAAGGTTGTTCTATAGCAAAGTCACTGACCATTGCTGATATCCAGATGTATAATCTTTTGCAATGCNTCGTGACATTCTAATAAGTAAATGTTGCCATTGATTAACATAATTGAGAATTGACAACATTTTTTAAATGGATGTTGCTAATGTTGTCTTTTGCAACGTTTATTGAGTGTTTGCAAAAAAATTATTTATTGCAATGTTTAGTGGGTGTTGCTAAAAGGTTGTTCTAAAGCAAAGTTACTGGCCATTGCTGATACTCAAATCTTTCGCAACGCTTTTTTAATATTGCAAAAAAGTCCTATTTTTGCAACGTTTTATAAACATTGTAAAAGGTAAACTTATCGCAACGTTTATTAAACGTAAACGTTGTTAATATAATTTTGTAGACTAACTTTTCGCAACATTTTTTAAGTGTTGTTAATATAGACTTTTCACAACGTTTTTTGAAAGTTGCTAATAAGGTTAAATAAGCTAATTTTTTGCAACGTTTATTAAAAATTGTTAATATGATTATATACAATTTTCTGGCATATTTAAAAGAGTCCTTCCAATTCCAACCCACAGTCCACAAAATACGCACAATCCATTTAGGGTTACATTTTACTGAGGCGATCTGGTGGTTTCCGGCAAATTTGCATTGCAATGGAGTCTCATGTAGTCGGAATCCGCCACGTTCTGCTCGCGTCCGTTTGTGTGGCTGACATTAGGTCCGTTTACATTTACCAAGGCGTCCTCCAATAGACCTTATAAGGCATTGTAAATTAATATTTAAAGCTTCATTTATTTGTATAATAATATTGATTAATTTCATTGGGACTCCAATTTATGTATCTTCTCTTCTCTCAATTGATTTAATTGTTGGGGAATTGTTTTTTGGGAGAAAATATGAAGATTTTGAAAAATAAATTTTTTATTGCTTTATGATATTAATTTGTGCTTTTATCTCTAACTATCTCATGATGTGCTTGCTCGATTTGTTCTGTCAATGTGAAAATGCTTTTTTTTTTGTCTTTTGTACCAGCAACGGTCCCTAACTTTTCATATATATGTAACTGGAGTCCAATTGATGTTGACCGTTGGTTGACCAAAAAAAGTCAAAACTTAATTAATTTTGATCAAATTGAAAATGGAAAAATGGTACTTTGCATTTTTCTCATATTAAATAAGTTAAAAAAAATAAATTAAAAAAATCCAAAAATAAAAATAAGTTTATAAACCCACCCCCACCCCTCACCCCACCTAACCTCCCAAATCAAAACTCGATGAAGTATCTTCTTCTCCAGAGAGACCCTATCGAAAATCGCCACCTTCGACCCATCAATGCCACCCTAGAAAGGCACCCACTGTATGGTGTATGTGAATTATTAGCAGCTTCCAATGCCACTTTTCTCAAAAGGATCTCATCATTTTCATTCTTTTCTCGACTCCCACTACTTAATTTTATAGAATTCTCATTGCATGCAGACAAATCACAATTACCATTGCAAACATTGGTCGAATTTCCTTCCCCATATAAAGCATTGGTAACAAAGATAACCCACTATTGTGTGGCTTAAGAAGAAGTGGAATTTTTTCACTTAAAAGATCGTGTGTGTCAAATGGATTCATTAGAATTTCAAACAAGGGCTTGAAGGAAAGACCCTCGTCGAGATTTCCTTGAACATGGGATGTGACAAGGATTCCAAGGGACGAGGAGTTACGGAGCTCCTACAAGAAATGGCGATAGTGATCGCATGAAGCATCAGAAACTGCAAAAGACAGTAGCTGTTGCTCGACATGTATAGTGTGGTGAAGTGGGAGTATCGGGAACTCTAGATTAATGCGTATGAACACACAGCCATCGGAGTCCAAACCCACCGTGCCAACATGAAAATTTGAGATGGGCAGGTGGGCTAGCGACTCTGCCTATTAAACTAGGAGGGGTAGGAGGTGGAGCACCGACTGGGTCGAAGGTGGCGATTTCTGATAAGGTCAAATCGAGGAAGAAGATACTTTGTCAAGTTTTGATTTGGGTGGGGTGGGGGCGGGTTTATAAATTTATTTTTATTTTTGGGTTATTTATTTATTTTAACTTATTTGATATTAGGAAAATGTAAAGTACTATTTTGCCCTTTTTACTTTGGTTAAAATTAATCAAATTTTGACCTTTTGGTCAGCTAACGGTCAAATGGATGTTTTCCATCAATTTAGACTCCAGCTGCATATTTATGAAAGGTTAGAGACTTCCGCTGGTACAAAATGAAGGTTAGGGTAAACACTGCAAAAATTGAAAAGATTAGGGATCGTTGTTGCAATTTTCCCTTTTTTTTCTATCCCTTGTCATAATGAATTCTTACATTCTTTTGGTGAGAAAGAACTATTTTCTGATTAATAAAGTGAAATTTAAATTATAGACCACTCTCTGAAGACACCTAAAAGACCAATGCAATTTGTCGTCGTTACATATATACTCTGAATTATATTTTTAGCGAAAACTGTATTATTTCGCTTAGGTTTAACCAAACATGTTAGTGCTTATCTCTTTTGACAACAAAGTTACTTTTGCTGTATAGAACTCATTTTCTCTTAGTTTGAATTTATGTGCATCCATTCAATTGCAGGGGTAGCTACTGATAGATGAGACTCTCCTGCACCCCCAATGCCACTTGGAGTTGATGAAATTCCTTGTGTTGCTCCAACTGGTTGGGAATAAATGAAAAAGATTTTGTTCAAGAACTTGTTCCTTGAACTATTTCCATTTTATGTTGTTCTTGCTCCTTGATGAGTTTGGACGTTTGTTAGACTTTTCTATTATAAATGATTTTGTTAGAATGTGAATTTTTTCCTTTCTTTTTGCCTTTTTATAGCCAAAAGACATCTCCTTGTGGTTTACTGTTATTTGAAACATTCAATGTGTGATTAATTGAAATTTCCAGCTTGAGTTTTTAATCTTTTCATGTGCTCTTTTTATTTTCGAAATGACTTTTTATGTTAAGTTATCAATTTTTATGTAATTACAAGATTTGCTCACAAGGAGCCATTTTCAATTTTGCCAATCAATTTGCATAAATTGCAGTAAACCAAAAAAAAAAAAAAACTACGGCAACAATAAAAAAAGTTGCAAAAAAGTTATTAGCAACATTCAAGAAATGTTGCAAAAATATTATTAGAAAAATTCAAACAATGTTTCATAAAGGTTAATAGCAACATTCAAAAAATATTGTAACAGGTAATTAACAACATTCAAAATATATTGTCGTATCCTTCTGCTCTATGAAAACACAAGGCTTGCAATATACGTCCAAACGTTACAAAATGTCTTCAATAATATTTTTTTAACTTTACAAAAGGCTGTTTTTGTTGGGGTGATTTATTCATTTATCGCTTGCAATTATAGGCTTACCCCAACGCATTCGGTAGCCTTGGAGCCTTGAAGCCCAAGATCTCATCAACCGTGCACATCTAATCCAGTCAAAATGTCAACACCGTCATAAAATTTGGAAATGTCAATATATAATAACCTTATACATTAAAACTATACACTCTTGCCACACACAATTTTGGTTAAATAATTAAATTACACATTAATTTACATAATTGAAAAATATCTACTACGTGCTCTATACAATTTCGAATCATAAAATAAATAATTAAAATTCACACAATAAGGAAAATAACTACTACGTCTGCATTTTCCATTTGACACTATTTCTAAAAGTATTAAGGGTTTTGCAATACAACCCCTCACAATAGGGATACATGATTTTTTATGGGAAAATTGTAGCAACGATTTTTAATCTTTTCATTTTTTGTATGCTTAATCTTCAATTTGTGCCAACGAATATCTCAAACATTTCAAAAATATACAGCCGAAATCCAGATTGATGGAAACTACCTATTTGACCATTAGTTGATCAAGAATAAAAGAATTTGATCAAATTAAAAAGGGTAAGATTGTAACTTTGCATATTATCCAACTTATCCTCTAAAATAATTAATTAAAGGGAAAATTGATGCCACAGTACCAAACCTTTAAAAAAATTCGCACTGGAGTCCAAATTGACAGAAACCGTTAGTTGACCAAAAATTAAATATCTAGTCAATTGTTGACTAATTTTTAAAGAGCAAAATTGTAAGTTTACATTTTTTTCATATATAAAAAAACTAAAATAAAATAATAAAATAAAAAAAAAACCCCACTACCCCACCCCACCCCACCCCACCCAATCCAACCCCAAATCAAAATTGTTGGCATCAACACACCCACCTCCGCCACCGTCCTTCAGCCACCAATCTCCGATGCCATCTCTCCAAACTCCAAAGCTCCCAATCAACCCTCCATTTTGATCATTTTCAGTGTTGAATTCAACCCATAACACAATCCACATATTCAACCCACTACCAAAATTGAATTCAACAGCATTGCTCGTCCACCATTACACATCCTTCTAAACTACCATTGCCCTATTTTTCTACCTACAAGGTCACACGAACCAACATTTTCTTTTGCGGCAACGGTAGAACAAAGGAGGCTTCGGCAACAACGGGCTAACCACCGATTTCTCCGGTGGTTGTTGCTAGATTGAGTATCACGAGCAACATGAAGAACCTTGTTTCACATATCGGGGAGCACCGTTGTGTTGCACGCGTGCGTGAGGTGCTCACCACTCCACTGTTGGGGTTTTGGGATTTTTGTGATTTCTTCTCCTTCGATCTGTTTAGAGGGGTGGGCGGCGTCGTGGTGGTTATTAGAAAAAGAGGGTAGAAAGTGAAGGTAGAGAGAGGAGGGTGAGAAATGAAATGGAGGTGGAAGGTTGATTTTTGTTCAATTTTTGGTTTTTGGAGTTTGGAGAGGTGGTGTCGGAGATTGATGGCTGAAGGACGATGACAAAGGTGGGTGTGGTGGTGTAGGTAGTTTTGGTTTTGAGTTGGGTGAGTTGAGAAGATAATATGGTTTTTTTTAGTTTTTAATTTAATTATTTGATTTTAGTTTTTTCATATGAAAAAAATGTAAAGTTACCATTTTGCCCTTTAAAAATTAGTCAACAATTGGTCAGATTTTTTATTTTTTGTCAACTAACAGTTTCTTTCAATTTGGAGTTCGGGTGCGAGTTTCTTAAAGGTTTGGGATTGTGGGGTAGTACAAATGAAAGGTTTGGTACCGTAATTGCAATTCTCCATTAAATAAAAGAAAAAAAATGTTCATTTATCTTCTTTTACACCCTCAATCCTAACCCAATCCCATCCTATCCCACGCAAAATCGAATATCGCCATCCAAGACACCAACACCCATGGTCACCACCACCCTGCCAACACTAAGCAAAACTTCCAAATCACAATCACAAATTATTTCTCTACTAAATTTGGCGGGTCCGGCTCAAAATCAAGAACTTCCTTTCACAAACAGCCCCTCTATGTACCTCTACTACAACCGACTCGACAGATTTCTTCACAAATCCACCACTCACATCCAAGATAATGACAATACAGACAAAGTAGAAAATGTCAATGCGGACAAAATATAACCGCTTTTGACACCATCTTCATCATCTACAAACTGCGGAAGTTTTCACGAAAGTGATAGCATGTCCGAAGTAGACATGCTTATTGACGAAGGAGAAGGCGCGATAAAGAAAAAGATGAGACCTAGAAGAAGGAATGAATTTACATTTGTTGTTACCCCTCTTCAGCTTCTTTAATTTTCTGGTGGCGACGACGAAGGACGGGTGTGGTGCATGTGCGTAGTAGTATTTTGATTTTGGGGTAGGGGTAGGGTTTGGATGGTGATATGTTTAATAAATTTTGGTTTTACTTTGTGTTGGCGGTGGTAGTGGTTGGGAGGCTGTGTTGGCGGGGGTGTCGATTGGCAGGTGGGTGGCAATGCTGATGGTTTTTTTTCTTTTTCTTTTTTAGCCCCTGTTTGTCATCAATTTTATCAAACATTGTTTACTACAGTAAACAATCTCCACCACATATTCACTCAATAAAATATTTTACACACAAACCAATAAAATTACTTTACTTTTCAATCATACATTCCCCAAAAAATACTATTCAAAATTCTATTTCTTCTCCCAAAATGGAAGACAAACAAGCACTTAGTTTATTTTTTTTATTCTACTTGGTTTTTAAATTATTTTATTTATTTTATGTATAAAATAGCAAAGTTACCATTTTATCCATTTCAATTTGGTTAAAATTAGTCAAAGTCCACTTTTATTAGTCAACAAACAATCAAATTACATCCATCTGGACGACAACTGCATATTTTTAAAAGATTGAGGACCTTCGTTGACACAAATTGAAAATTAGGGTAAAATCTACAAAAATTGAAAAAATAAAAAATCGCTGCAATTTTCCCTTTTTTTATTGGCCGTAAGTCGGGTGGACAAATAACAAAATCCAAGTATCTATCCACACCAAAGAAATCAGTCAATTCATATATCTCGGCCATTCGCCGTTTTGAATATTACTCCGGCGCCACCACCCCTTAAAATTCCAAGGTCCTAAAACCAGATTACATTATTCAACTCTTTTAATTCTTAGATAATTCAAGATTTTCTAATTCTGAAATAAAGAATTTAGCTTTTTTTTTTCCCATTCTTTCAAGAAGTTTGACCGAGGTTAAATTTGTCTTTTTCTTGAATTTTCGATCGGCTACATAAGTTCCTCCGACTCGCCGATCCTATCAGAGAAGCAAATCGATAGAATGTTGAAGGCTGTAAATGATGATTATGGAGGCGTCATTGTGGAAATGACCAATGAACCCATGGATGCTCATATCTTTGTTTCTTTACTCAGAGCCTCGCTTTCCCATTGGAGACAACTGGTATTGAATTTAATCGTATTTTACTCTGCTGTTTTTTAAGAATAATTCCCTGCGTATCACAGAAACCATATATTCTGCCATTATTGGGTCCAAAACCAATGAAAAATTGCCAAGCAAATTCTGTTAATTCAAGTTTCTCTGATAAAGAAATATCGTTTCAGTTTAGGATAATGTTGGGCGTAATGGGTTACGACTCGATAGGGAGGAAGCACTTTGTAAGAAATCAAGAATTTAATTCAACGGCTACAAAAATAAAATAAAATAAAATTTCTTGTAGCAAACAAACAGATATTAAACTAGCAAAATAATTAAATAAAGGTTTATATCAAGACTCAAATTGTTTTTTTTTTTTTATATTTTTAAATGATGAAATGGGATTAAAAAATGTAAACTTCTATGATATTTCGATAAAAAAGTTGTCTTTGAGGTTGTGTAAAGTTTGATTGATGTTTGTACATTTTATTAGGGAAAGAAAGATATTTATGAAGGGTACAGATTGTTGAAATGGACTCTGTCCTCCATAGATGAGACCCTTAGAGTTGTATTTTCGTATTTCTCCGAGCACGTCTTTGAATGAAGTTGATCGGTGCATTTTCATTGGATGATCAAATTAACAGACTTGTGATTTAAGCTTTTTCATCAATTTTCTGAGTGTTTCTATATATTTATTGTGTTTAACAGGCTGTATATTCATATAAATGATAAGAGGATAACTATATGGTTCATAATCTGGATCCTTTTTGGATTTTCAATTTTTCTTTTTTTTGTTGGGGGTGGGGTTGTGGGACACTGGGCGTGGATTGTGGCCAAGATAAAATTCAAACGAGCACAAGAAATACTACTGAAATGTAGACTGAAATTTTAGCGCATTAGGAATATGATCCTACGGAAGGCAGGACATGGGTCATGCCTACGCGTCGATATATTTTGAAACTTTTGGACAATCATTTCACAGTTTTAACTTTCAACTAGGGCTTGCAATTTCCTGTGTTTATCTGGATGCTTTTGCAGGGCAAGAAAGGAGTCTGGATTAAAATGCCTATTGAGCTTGTAAATCTTGTTGAACCTGTTGTTAAGGTTAGCATATTTCTCTTCTTATATTGTATTATTTCGAGAATTATCTCATCTTCGAAGGAGCCTTGAAGCTGTTGAAAATATGCTATCTTACTCCATGAACAAACTGTTTCTCATCATCAATATTTTTTTGATTTCAGGAAGGATTCTATTATCACCATGCGGAATCTAGATACTTGATGCTTGTGCATTGGCTTCCTAGTACTCCTAACACTATACCTGCAAATGCCTCACATAGAGTGGGTGTTGTTGCTTTTGTCGTGAATGAAAAGAATGAAGTAAGTCCCCATGGTCGACTTATATTCTCTTGAACCATATCGTAAGGCAGTCTTTGTGTTGATGGAATGCCTATTGCAATGTTTTCGCACCATGAATTGTTCAAATCACTAGATAAGAATCTCTGTTACCTGTGCTGTTTTTAGATACATTATTATATGCTTTTTATGAATTTTGATCATGCATTGCTGCCTCTTTTTATGCTGGTGTTATGCATCATTGAAAGTTTTATCGAATTGTATATTTGTCTTGGTTTAAATATCATTTGTGAAAGTATTTAAGATATCTGATATTCTGTTGGTGGAAACATGTCTGCACACTTTTCATGAAATTTTAGTTTCTCTAAATCCTCCTTGTGCATTTTGGTGGATCAAGGAAATGAATAGTTTTATGCTGTCATAGTATGCGTCTCTTCTTTTTCACACATGCATAATAGATATGAGTACCCTGTACTCTTACTATAATACTTTGCATCACTGTTGTATTATTTGAAAACATACACGCACTTTCTTTCTTTCTTTTTTCATACAAGTTAATATGGTAACACAATATGTCCATGTGCAATACATCGTTCTTGTTACTCTCTTAGGAAAAAGAATTTGGAACTCTTGGGATATATTTGTCGTTTGTGCTGCTCTGATAACCCCATAAATAAAATAAATATCTAAATGATGTCAACTTAACACGAAGAAACAATGACTATAAAATGTCATAGTCTGCACGTTTTCCCCTTGCTTTTGTGGAATTTGCAATTCTGCACATGCTGTGGCATATATATTAGCATATTAAATCTCTAGGACCTCTTGCTAAGCAGTCAATTGGTTCACAAATTTCTACCTAGGTTCTAGTTGTCCAGGAAAAAGATGGAAAATTCCAGGGAACAGGTGTGTGGAAGTTCCCCACAGGAGTTGTTGATGAGGTAGGTGCAGGTGATCAATCTTACGTCATATTTAAAGGGAAAAAAATGACAAAAGAAACTGCGTTTAGGTTGTTTAAATTTACTTTCTTCCATCCACAGGGGGAAGATATATGTGATGCAGCTGTGAGAGAAGTGAAAGAAGAGACAGGAGTAAGTGCAAAAGTGCACATGATCTGTTTCCTTAGTATTTGATGAATTGCGAATTTTAGTTACAAATGGTTTATTAACGACAATGTTCTTTATCTGTTTTTATATCAGATCGATTCAGAATTTGTAGAAATACTAGCATTCGGGTACTTTTCCCAAAATCATGCTGTATCTTATGAATTTGAATTACAGTATATTTTCCTATCATTTTTTATTACCTTTGCTAAATTGAGTAAACTTAAACTATGATTTCCAGACAGAGCCACAAGTCATTCTTTGAGAAGTCAGATTTAATCTTTGTGTGCATGCTACAACCATTCTCCTTTGACCTCCGGCCGCAGGAAGCAGAGATAGAGGCAGCTCAGGTATATTCGAATGGTGATGGAATTATATCTCAATAAAAATAAATGTACAGAGAAACTTTAGTATCCTAGTCAATTTGCAAGTTTGCCATGTTTCTACTGTAAAACTCTGATATGGGTTGTCCAACCTTTTATTTACTTCCAGTGGATGCCATTTGAAGAATACACAGCCCAACCATTTGTTCAGGAACACGAGTTTCAGAGGTATATTGCTGATGTATGCTTAGCAAAGAAAGATGAGGGGTATTCCGGATTCTCTCCTGTACCTACTGTACCTAGTTTTTCTCCAACGAAGAGCTACTTGTACTTAAACCAGCAGGACCTCGACTTTTGATAAAGACGATTTGGGATGCACCTGGGATTCGGACAAGCTATGAAAAACAAGGATGGAATTGACAGTTGAAGCAATTTTACTATTTGATATTTTGTAATTATTCCAAATAATTATAGTTTGTTAAACAAGTTCAATCAATGAAGTTTTTATTAATATTTCTCTGGGTGTATTTTTCGATATAGAAAAACATATATAATGGTGTTGGTACAAGAACATACAAATTGGTGTTGTTTACCTGCCCTTGTGGGTCTCGATTTATGCTGCTACTGTTCGTATTACGTTTTACTAACAACTTAATTAACGTTCGTGGGTTTCCTGTGTTCTTTATTTCCAACCTCTATATAAAATCTAGATGGTGGTAGCTTTTCATTGTCCGTTCATTCCGTCTTGCATTGACACAGAAGTTTCTGAACAAATACAAAAATGACAGGCCCTTTTCATCTCCTCGCCACTATCATGAAGATGATGGTTGTTCTGGTGCTTCTCGGCTTCTTTTGCCTTGGAACTCCTGCAACAGCCACGCGGCAGACAGGGATTCTTGAATTTTCCAGCAGAGAAGACTTGGAGACATGGGGTGGATATGGAGAGGAGAAGCTCTCCAGAGTCATAATTAGTGGCAAAATTCTCTGTCATGCTAGTAGACATGACAAAGCTCCATACCATTCATATTCCGTCTCAGGTTTGTATTTTTTCAATGTTAAAACACAAACTGTATTAACAACTATAAGAATATTCATAATACAGAACAGTGTATGTGTAAGATTGAATCCAACAAATAAATATCCTTAGGCAATTAGGAAACTTAGTTGACAGGTGTTTCGGTTCAACCAGTTGGTTGACTCGTCCCATTTTTAATTGGGTTGATTAACATTCAAGAAAATACCTATACAACAGTATTTTGAACCAGCATGCCAATGAGCTCCCCAGAAAAGAATAAATCAGTAAACCAGTTTGTGGTTCTGCAGGTGCACAGGTGGCTGTTATATGCAGTACTAACGGAAAAACCAGGAAGATATCGGCAAAAGGCACCACAGATGGTTATGGAGAATTCCTCATTGAACTTCCTTCCCATCTCCATGCAATTCACAACTTGGAAAGGATATGTCTTGTTAAAGTTTTTCATCTGCCAAAAAATTCTGTGTGCCTGCAAGGGAAACATGGAAAGATAGAACTCACGTCAATAGGCAATGGTATGCGTACTTATATGACGCATAACATACATTTGATGTCTAAAATCTCAAAAGCACGCATTTATGAGGCAGCAAAGCCAGATGAAATGGTAAATAACCTGTAACACAATGGAGCAAGGAATTAGCAGCAGCTTGTGGGGATGGTGCTTTAGTCATAATATGAGATGCAGGTGTCATCCTGCCCAGATGTTCAATGAAATCATTAACTATTGTAATTGAGAGTCTGCGCTTGTATGTGGAAAGCTTGGAGACGACTATTGAGACTTCTATCCAATTCTGCAATCAAACAGAAAGGCATTGTAACATCAATGAAGTTCTTCTATCTTTCCATTAATGAAATGAAAAAGATGAAAAATGAAACTCTGCCACATCAACAATCACTAAAAAGGACATGTAAAGTTAGCATATGTGAATAGTCAAACAGCGAAGCAAACAAGAGACTTTAAAACTGAGATGGATTTTGTGAAATGTTGCATTCAAGAGCAATTCATTCCAAAAATAACAGAAAACAGCACTCGAAAGCATGTCCGAACTGCAACCGTAATAATAGGAAATGAATCCCCAGACGCTTTTGATACAATCAGGGACTCCGCAGAAATGATATATTTAGCAACACCAGAACAACATTTAAGCTTGTTCACTTCCACATCAGGCATCTCAATGGAGAATTCTTGCTCAAAAGCCATAACAAGTTTCACTCTGTTCAGGCTTAAGCCCTTCATGAAATCAGCTGTTTAGTAACCTAAAATACTAAAAACATTATTATTATCATTTTACCCCACAGAACACTAGTGACATATAAGAGTTAACGTTATCGTTGCTCGAAAATTAGATAAAAAAGATTACGTCATGAGAACCCTTGACTAATAATCTTAGCAGCATCGATCTTATCAAATTTCTTCACCAGCTTAATAACTTAATAAGCAAAAACCATAATGAAGCTTAAAGAAGAATAAGAGAAGAAAAGTGAAAAGGAATGCAGGGGATGTTGATTTTTGGGTTGTTCTTTTCATAGAAGAAAGTAAAGATAAGTTAGAATTATTTCTACATTCTTATCAAAAGACTAATTTATTGCAATGCAGCCAATTCAAACTCATAGCTAAAGCCAGTCACACATTGCCATAGTAAAAAACATGCAAATCCTACAAAACACTGTAATGCCCCTTCTCTATCTCCTCTTCCTTTACATTATCCACTTGCATTTTCCTTCGCTTCTTCCCAGATTCTATATGTTTAGTGACACTGAGATGACTCTTGACTAGAATCAGCAACACATGGATGCATAATCTTCTGAATTGACAGAGAACTATGATCTTACAAGGAGTGATCGACTGAGAACCATGATCTTGGTTATAACGGTTTCCCTCGACTAACAGTGATTCCAGCCGTAATTTACGGAAACCCTAGGAGACCTGTCCCACATGATCATAACCACTCTTTGTCATGTCACCTCGACAAGATCTCTATATATAGGAAGCTTAACACAGTATGAAAGGTAACTTTTTACTTTTTTACATCTTTTCATATTATGAAAGTCCTTATTTCCTTCATATCTTCTCCCAAAGAACATATTAACTTTCTCTGACCCCGGAAGGCAACCGGGGCAAGGTTCCCAACCCCTTCTTTGTGCAGGTTAGCTAATCGAGTTGTTACCATTACTTGGACATACATAATCGACCAGCACAAGTATTAATGTCATAAAATTTGACAAAATGTTTACAACAGTTACAAACTTAGTGCTCTAACGTTATCAAAATTGGACTGAACCGTCGGTTCTTAATCTTTGCACTGTTGCTAATGTTAGAAATTTGGTTGACTTATACTAGCTACATAGATAGATATAATTCTGAAGTATTCAAACTATGTGATTTTTACATATTAAATTACAACGAAGAAAGGTGCATTTTTTGTACATTGATATTTTTGAGAGCCGCCAATTGCAATTTGCAAAGCAATGTTTAAGAAAACGTTTACCTTCCTTACCTAACTTATTGAACACTAAAGTGAATATCACACTACACAGTTTTTGGGAGGAAAGAGGACAAGTCCTTCTCCTTTACATCTTCAAAATGCATATCTAACACATGCAGTAGCTTGTGTCAGAATTGAGAAATTCTATGGCTTGAATCTTTAATAGTTCTTATGTCATACCTATATCCACTATTTAGACAGAATACTCTCACCCTACCCACTAAGAAGTGGAAAGAAACTATATAAATGGAAGAAAATATGAAACATAAGGAAGAAATAGATGTAGAAATAGAAACAGCTTCCATCGTGCAATGAGTTGTTAGTGAGAAATGAAATGCTTCAAACGATATTCATATAAATATTTATGACATAAAAGGTGATAAAAATTTTCCAACAACTATAAACTTATTGCTAGTGTTATCGAAATAGGATTGGATTGAACTGAGCAGTTCAATAAAAAAGATGGAAACTTGTATTGTTATTCACCAAAAATAGTAAATATGAAATCCCGTTGAAATCACCAAATATTTAATTTATTTATTTACATTTTTACGACTTGTTCGCCTTGGGATTGGTTCAGCCAATGGATGTTCGCCCAACTAGGTTGGAAGATAAATCTGAGTATTTGATCCCCCTTTCTTCCCACGGACCATTTGCCTTTTCCAAATCAATGTTCGAAGCAACGGAAAAAATTCTTTCTAATTGCTATTGAAGATACGATTCTTACATATTATCTACATAGTACGTCTTGAATATAAATGAGATTAATATTTTCCAAGTCAAAATTATTAAAGATCTAGCCCAGTTCAAATATTTGTGACAAAAAAAAAAAAAAGTTCTTACCATTTATACAAAAAAAAAAACAAAAAAAAACCTAAAATCTCCAAGAAATTTTTTGACATCCAAGCAAACATACAATTATTTTATCATTGGTGGAGCCAAAAGGGTGCAACTTTTGGTCCCCAACTAGAAAAAGAGTCCTCAAAGTTCTCTTCCTTTGTGCCATTTCATTATCTTCATCATTATTTGTGATGATAAACACATATAACCACCACCCTTTCAATATCAAGATTCTGTTGCATAAATCATTGACTCCATCAATAATTTTGTTTAACCCAAACTTTGCTAAAATGTTAACTTACCACTCATTTTGAAAATTTAAAAGATTTGTGGTTTCACACATACAATCCCAAACAAGATTTTTTTTTTTTTCATTAATTCGTATTTTGTAACTCTTGTGTAATAGTGGTAGGAGGGTCAAAATGAATTGAATTATCCAGTGTGCCTTTATATGGCGACCGCATGCAGTTAGATCTAAGAGCTTGATGTTTTCTTATATTTTGTTGCTATCTTTCTTGAAAAAACTAAAAAGTAAGGTAAAAAGTAACATGGATGGAAGTAGTGGTGGCAATGGGTCGAGTTGAGCCGGCTCGGCCCATCTACCCATGAGCTTGTTCGAGCACGAGCGAGCTTATGTTTTTTTGTTTTACTTTTTCCTCACATTTTTTACGAGCCCACAAGTCGTTCGCGAGCTCAACGAGGCTCGGCTCACCTGGCGAAACCTCGGCTCGGGCTCGTCCCGAACCGTCCCTGGGCTGAGCTTCGACGAGCCGACAAGCTACTCGCCCTTTTGTCACCCCTAGATGGAAGCTGAACTAATTACTCCCCCCATCCCTAATCAATAAATCACAATTATTACATAAGCTAATTTCTAGATCTAGCTAGAGCAATTCTCAATATCATCGATAGTTCATATAGAGTTAGCGTGAAATTTTCATTTTAGTTGTCATTGTTTTTCCACTCCAATCATTGTGCATTTTTTTCCGTATTTTGATTGATAATTCATGAAGAAAACGACACTTTTTGGGCAACAAATTGAGATATTTAAGTAACTTAAATAACTTTTATTTTCTCTATTTTTAAGTACGCATAATGTTCAAAGAGTAGTACTACAAGTACATCAAGAGTGCCAGTGTCCATTATGGACACCATTATGGCACCCTTGATATACAAGAAGAATTATCTATGTTCAAAAACAAGTATACAAAGGTGTTGGGTTTTGATACCGGGCTATGATGTAAATATCGAAATATAATTTCATTGACCTCGGCCAATGGTGAATTAATTACCAACAACCAAGTCCAAAAGCTTGACCTGAAAACAATGTGAATCGTTGAAATTAACTTAAGAAATTAATGTTACTCACAACCCATATATATTATCTTTTGGATGTTTTTGAATCTTGACACATTTAACCCTTTTATTGGTCCAACTAAAATCTAACCAACTCTTTATATATGTTATTTCTACCCTATCCATAAGTGTGTAATTCGTGTGTGAAAAAGAGAGAAAAACATGTGCCATTAGAAAAGGAAAAACCGTCTCCCTTTGTGTTCCAAAATCGGTGATTAACTTTGTGTTTTTAGTTATCTTCTTGTGCATCTTTCATTGTTTTTCTCATGCTTTTATGGCTTACAAATCAACAGCATAATCTTGTCCTTTGTGAGTGAGATTGGGAAGCAGTTGAGATGAATATATTGGTTGTAGGTTGGAGCCGTTTGGATTGGTTATTTGGTAGAAAAGGTAACGTGAAACTAAGTTTAGAAAACACCGTTTGACGATCCTTGGAGCAAGCTTCCGCGACAATTGGTATCAGAACTTCAAGTTGGTGGATTTGACTCCAAAATCTGACCATAAACCGATATGAAAACAAGCAGAGAACTGATAGAAACAGAAACGCAGAATCTATCCAGTTTTCTTCAAGTCTGCTAGACCTGCAAATAAGTTTTTCGGCCAAACCAAAAGGAGTATGGTTAAATTGAGACCATTGACGTGATGTGCAGGTGGAAACGCTCCTGTGTGGCTGGTGCGTAATGGCGCGGGCACTAATTCTGATGACGGTGTTTGAAGACAAATTACTCTCAAAGGTGTGGTGGTGTTAAATTTCTGTTTTGAGCAAAATTGCGGTTCTAGACAATTTTGCCCCTTGCGCGTTCAGGTTATTTTTTGCTTGATTGGTTGCTGCAGTTGTTGGAGATTTTAAGGTGAATAGTGGTGACCCTAAAGTGATAAATTTGCATATATCGTCATTTACGGACTCAAATTGGTTAGCTCTGGTTGCTTATCCTAATTTGAATTTTAACATTAGCACATCATCGTGTGAGTGACTTTAGGATTGGGATTACCGTGTGGGGTAGATATTGCTTGTACTAGAAATTTAGGAATTATTTGCTGTTTGAAGTGTTGAATTTGATTGGAAGTTGGTAATTGATTTTGTGCCTTAATTGTCGTTTAGTCACTGTGTGAGACTGCATTGCGTGAGAATTTGAATTTTTTGTAGACATACTTTCGTGTTACATTGATTATTCTGTTAGAACAAATGGACTTGACACATTTGAACATTCCATTGATACTAAAATTTCGAATTTCACGAGACCCCGTGAATTTAAAACGGTGTATACTACAGCTTATGATTACTTTGTGTGGCTTATTTGTGCACTTTGGTTGTTCTTTTTTAAAAAAAAGAAATGTTTTTACATTTCGAAATTGAAATTTTCAATGGAAAAGTGAATTTTCAATTTAGCAGCAAAAGATGAAGGGAATTTTGGTTCAACAAAAAGTTTCAAAAGTTATAGATGACAAATTTCCTGCAAATCTAATAGAAGCACAGAAAGAAGAATATGATGAACTTACTTACACTTTAATTATTTTACACATATCTTACGCTATTTTGAGCAAAGTTTAAAATTTTGATTTTACAAAAGAACTTTGACAAAAGTTAGAGGACTTTTATTTTTTTAAGTCTACTCCTAATAAGTTTTACTTGTTTGAAAGATTTTTCAATTTTAATATGGATCTTTCAAATGATCTTGATGACAATTTGAATTTTTTTAATAAACTTGTTCAAAATATTGTTAATTGAGATGAAAATGTGTCTAAAACTTATAAGACAATTATTTTACCGAATTCTATGTTTAACTCATATAGGGAGGTTAAGAATGCGATTAAGTATGGTAGAGACACCTCAACACTCGAGATTGTCATAGATTCTCTTAAGAGTAAGGATATAGAGATTAAGGTTGAAAAAGATGATAACAGGATTGGTGAGCTATATATGATGAGAAGTTGAATGAAATTTAAGTTATTGAATTTGAGTAAAGCTCAAGATAATAGAGATTCGAGTAGAGACTCGAGTGATGAGAGTGGTAAGAAGAATGGCTAGAGATGAGACAAGTCCGGGGGTAAGCGGTGTTACAATTGTGGTAAGGCTAGACACTTTATTTGGGACTATCCTAAGAAAAATGATAAGTAGAAGGGTAAGATAAGAGACGAGGAGAATGTGGCTATGGGGTCGAGTGATGACCTTAGTGAGGTATATTGAGAAGCAAAACTAGTTACTACATGTGCATCTGTGTATAATCATTTCTACATCTATGTGATTGTTTAATTCTGTTGCATAGTTATATGTTGCATTTTAATATGTTTGATATGTGCATGAATTTGAGAGCTACCTGATTACTTGATATAATTGTTTACATACATAGTGGGTTAGGATGCATTAGCGATAAGTGTGTTGAGTGTTTTTTGGTAAGATGAAGTATAGATTTCTAGGGGTACATTGATGGTATATACCAGGGATGTGAAGTGTAACATTTGGATCGCGAATGGAGAGGTGATTAAATGTTGGAATCCTTTATATGTGAAGACTTTGATCAGGTGGAGTGTGAGAGAGACGCTTCTATCACTTCTATTAGGTAGAGACCTATTATTCACTTAAGTTAGGAGAAGTGATGTGGTGATAGAGGATTATCCCGAAGACTTAGGATCCATAAAGTTTTGCTAGTTGGACATGAGTTGAGTGATCAGTCTAATGAACATGGTGGGCGATGAGAGGAGATATGTGTTCTTGAGGTGTGAGCAACACAGAATGGGATATGATAAGTGTGGTGAGATTTTTTGTGGGATCATTTATACATTTGTTACATATGTGTTGGCAGTTTGTTGATTAACTTGGCGTTAATATGTTGTTCTGTGTGAACGCATTTTTTGAAAAGATCTGTGGGTTGTCATGTGTTATATTTTCATTGCATGATTTTTTGTTCTCAATTGTTTACCGTTATTATCTGCTTCTACTTTGATGTTTTTGACCTTAGCCCTGGTAAGTAGATAGACCAGATATGGTATATGTTTTGGGTTCGAAACATTAGGTAAGGTTTGTGATCCCAATTTTATTTGTTGCCTTGATTATGCAAGCATTGATTTTGCGTTTTGATTGCTTGCAGGTTGATTGAGTATTAAGGTGAATATTTGTTGGATTTTGATACCCAATAAATTTCAGACTATGATGTAAACATTGGGATATAATTTCACAAGGCTGGTGAATTGATTACCAACAATCAAGTCTAAATGCTCGATCCCAAAATAACGTGGACCATTGGAAGTAACTTAAGAAATTAATACTACTCACGGCCTATATATATATATTACCTTTTGGATGACTTTGAATCTTAGCTCATTTAACCCTTTATTGGTCCAACTAAAACCTAACCAACCATATATATATGTTGTTTCTACCCTAGCCATAAGTATGTGATTTGTGTGTGAAAAAGAGAGAGAAATTGTGCCATTAGAGAAGGAAAAACCAGCTGCCTCTGTGTTCCAAATCGATGATTAACTTTATGTTTTTGGTTCTTTTCTTGTGCCTCTTTCATTTGGTTTACAAATCAACACTATAATATTGTCTTTTGTGAGAGATTGAGAAACTGCAGAAGTGAATATATTGGTTGTGTTGGAGCCGTTTGAATTTGTAGTTTGGAAGAAAAGATAACGTGAAACTGAGCCCCAAAAATATTGTTTTGACGATCCTTGGAACGAGCTTTTGCCACAAAAGGATTGCTTGTAAATGCATTTAGTTCCTTGATTAAAAAGTTAATTTGAAGTTAATGCGAACTTGTTAATCTCATTATCATTAATTCATTAACTCATCGATGTCTAAGTCAGCGATTTGAAAGACACCATATTAACTATAACAACAACAATTAAATGTCCATACTTCCTTTTTACTTGTAATCTTGATTTTATGAGCGACGATGTAGAACCTAATTTAATAGTTCTTTGTGATTATGGGCATGGGCACGAGCCGTCAATCTGACTTTTCGATTGACAATAGTAGTTTCTTCAAGCTTCAAAAATTCCCCCATCTGCATCTTTTTAATTTATCCCAAGTCTTGTGCAAGTTGAACTTGACCTTTTGCGTAGTCGAGCATCTTGCTTCAGTTTTCATACAGACTCTTAATTTTGCACAGTATCATATATAAATGTCTTATACTTTATAGTCAAAGTACAAAGCATTAACAAATTAACATAAATATTACATAATATATTGATTCTATCAGAAAAATAATGTGATTGTTCACAAGAATATTAACTGTAAGGCTAAAATAAAGGAAGTGGCCTAGAAGAATAGATGATGTGACTCGCCCCCATTAAAACCACATCAAGCATCCCCTGCCCCACCCACCAGATCGCATTGCTCATAGGCATAGCGAAGCCCATGCTCCCAAAGCGCATCATTTCAAGAAAGTTCCAAACTCGTAGGATAATAAGATTACATAACATTACATAGCCTAGCATCATTTTTTCACAATCCTATTTCTTTCAGATTTGTTTACTCTTACCTTTATCATAATTCAAGTAATCACACTGAAGTATTTAATCTAACTGACCCGATGTGGTGCCTTCTTAAATAAAACCCCTTTGATTTCCTTCTTTAAGAAATGATCATAAATATATAAAGATTCTTATCTTAGAGGATCCCATTCTTGGTAATTTGGGTTGCTAATAAAGAATATTTTAGTATAGTAGCAGTAATAATAATGGGGAACGTGAGTGGAAGAGAAGATGGAAGCGACAACAGCCAATCTGGAGTTGAAAGTGGCGGTGCCGTTGGTGGCGCTGCGCCGGATAGCATGGCTGATCAAGATCCTGCTGGCGGTGAGTTCATGGGTCATTCCCCCCCTCCCAGCCCTAGGGCTTCTCACTCTCCTTTGATGTTCAGACCTCAGGTTAGTTTTTTTTATTTTTTAGTTTTTTTTGTGGGGTTTCTTGTTTATATTTATATTAATGAAGATCTCTTTTTTACTGAATTTTTAGATGTAAAGATATAATATTTTTGTCTCAATTGAGTGAATATTTTTTAGCTTAGCTTTAAATTGTTTATCATGCGTGGGTGTTGTCAGATTTGGCTACGGTGACTGTATATTCCAATTAATATGGCTGGATCTGAAAAAAGTTGTAACTTTTCTTTTATTATCAGATTTATGAAGGGAAATAATTGTTGCTCCTGTGAATTGTTCTGGGAATATGGGAAACAGTTTATTTTTGTATTTAATTTTTGCTTTCCTCATTTTACCTGGTTTTGATATTACCAGATTATGCGCTCAATGAAATTTCCCAGAAAGATTCGATCTTTTCAAGAATTCATTTGCAGTGAAGGTTAATTAACACAAGGGAAAGGAGTTCTGTGTAGTTTTTTGATTGGACTTTTTGAGCATGAATATGGAGACAGAGTTGATATCTGTCAAACAATAGGTTGCATATAATTTGTTGGGAATTAGTAACGGCCGTTACAAATTATAATCTTTTGTCTTTGCCCGTGCTCTAGAATCTAGATTGGCTCTCTTTTGCAGGAAAAATTGCAGTTTTGCTAGGGGTTTCCGTTTTGATGTCGCCTAGTTGGCATTTATGTTGTAACTTTTAACAACCAGAAATATATAATTATTGGTCTACTTATAGCATGCATGGTAAGGTAGATTAGACAATATTGGACATAATTTTTTGAGAAAAAGAATTTGAACTCTTGTTTATTCTATTTTCAACTACAGTCTGATACTACTTAGCATTCATGCTCTAAAAGTTTCCTCGTGAATCTTTTTCAGATGCCTTTGGAACCTTTACAAAGACCTGAGGAGATGAACATTGCCAGTCCGTGGATGCAAACTACTTCACGGCACGAAGATGTTTGTAACGAGCAAGGAATTCCGACAATGATTACGTGGAGCCTTGACGGCAAGGAAGTTGCCGTGGAAGGATCATGGGATGATTGGAAAACAAGGTGATATGCATTGGTTTATTAATATATTATCCTCTTCTAACTCAAGCTCCAAGAATTGTAAGAAGTTTTGAAATATGATCTTTTATCAGGAAACCCTTGCAAAGATCAGGAAAAGACTTCACCATAATGAAAGTACTTCCTTCGGGAGTTTATCAATACAGGTTCATTGTTGACGGACAATGGAGGTATTCTCCTGACTTGCCATGGGCCCATGATGAATCAGGCAATGCTTACAACATTTTGGACTTGCAGGTAATTATTATTTTCTCTTCCAAGTTTCCTACTCATTGATGTTGCTTACCTCTTTATGAATGCATATGATTATCATATTTAGTTTCTAGTTGTTTCGTTAATTTTTTTATTTATTTCTCTTTTCCTAATATGTACAAAGATAATAAAGAGGACCCTATGGACTTTATTTTTGGAAAAATTGACATAAATCTAATGCTAAATTTTGATGCTGTGTTGTTCTTTTAGTTCTAATTCAATTGAAAGTTCTAATCAGGAGATGCTTGAGCGGCTGATCTGAAGATGAAACCACTGAGACTCAGTGTTAAATATTTTTGTTTATGTTATATTTAAGTATCGTTGTTATGTTGCCTAATTTAAGATCAATCTGTCCCAATATAATGTTGAGCTGCTTCTGCTTTATCCAATGAATGTAACATTTCCTTTCACATTGAACAAGTCTGATAATTCCCTCGGGGGAGTGTACATGTGTGTTTGAATACATGCACTCCCTGTTAAGGGATAAAATCCACATCGAATAAAGATGAAAACATAGACGAATTCAAAAGGGTATCAGATCTCATTAAGTTTCAACGAGCAATTCGATCCGATTAAGACTCAAAAAATGAGTACACGGATTTCAAGATTGGTTTGCTTAAACGAGTCACCATTTTGCGAGGGCATGTTAAGGGATAAAATCTCATATCGAACAAAGATGAAAATATAGTTCAATTTATAAGGATTTGAGCTACTCACTTTAATAAGGTTGACATTTTAAGATGGAACCCCAAATTTTAGCACTCCTAGTCCGCGTGCTATTACCATAAAGACAAGCATGCACTCTCATGTAGTTGGTTTTTATGCTATAATAATCGTTGTGATGCAAGTGTCATAATTTACTTGGCGCTTAATAAGTTGCACAGCATTTAATGATAATTCTTTTACTCTGTCAGCATTTATCTTTGTGCATATATCTCGGGATTTGGATATCTTTATCTTTGAGTTACTTCTGCATCAGGACCCCATCATTATTGGGAGAGATTATCTGTGCATAAGTTCTGTGGGTAAAACTTAAGTAGCAGGTTTTTATTACATAAGGAATATTTTCGACCAATGAAGAAAAAGAAGACATGTTCATGTACAGTAGGAAGGAAAGGAAGTAGATTGGGGTTGTTTGAGGAGTCTCATCTTTATGGCCATTCTTTAGACAATAAGATAGATCTTGAAGAATCATGACCTCCCATTTATTTTGTAGCCTCTAAATTTGACAACCATTAAAACAATTTTTTTTTTCAAACTCATTGTCAACCATATATTCTCACAATAAAATATTCTGCACATAAATCCAAAACTTTTTCATACTTTTTCTCTACAAATTCTCCAAAAAATCACTATTCCAAAACTCATTTTCCCAAAAAGACTCGTTTTAATGGTTGTCAGGGGCGTAGTTTATTTTACTTTCTGAGTCATTTTCGACTTCTGTTTTCCATGCTTACATTATTACATGGTTGTGTGAAATTCATTTATCAGCAACTTGCTCAGTTGATTGTTGAACTTGGAAACAAAATATATGAAAGCTTAAAATTTGATGTTGAAGATTCAATGTAGTCCTGCTTTCAGTAAATAAAATTCCGTTCCCAGGCTGCTGCTAACAGATTTTCTTCTTCAAATTTTGTCTTTGGAGGATACTATGGTTAAGAAAGATAAATAGTTCTATGAGGGAGTTTAAGGTGAGTGTTAATAGTTTTGTAACTAGAGGTTTGGCGACAAATTTCCAGGGTAGAGTCTGGTGTGTCGACCAAAGAAATAGAAAAATACCGATAAGAATAAAATAATAATAAACTGTTATCATATTACGATTCATAAAGATGTCATTAATGTCGATAAGATCACAAGACACATGCAGCAAGTTAGATAACTGCAGGATATCTAATTTCTCAACCTTGCACCTATGGCCTGACTGAGTATACTTTCTTGATCGATTCATTGATATTTGCTAAACAGGATGGTGCACTTTCATTATTGCATCTGAATATGAGTCACGTTCCAGTTTTATTGTTATTTGCATATGGCTATCTGCGTGTTGTTTGGACAAGAAATGATAGAAGGTTCATACATGGAACTACATGTTCTCACCAATGCAAGCTGCAGGATTTTGTCCCAGAAGATATTGATAACATTTCCGGGTTTGAACCACCTCAGTCCCCAGATGCCAGCTACAACAATCTGCAACTCGGTCCTGAGGATTATGCTAAAGAACCGCCGGTGGTTCCTCCACATCTACAGTTGACTTTGCTTAATGCTCCGGCACCTCAAATGGAGATTCCACCTCCCTTTTCAAGACCTCAACATGTAGTGCTCAATCATCTCTACATGCAGAAGGGTAGGGGCAGTCCATCAGTTGTGGCACTTGGTTCAACTCATCGGTTCCATTCCAAATACGTGACAGTTGTGCTTTACAAGTCCATAAAGAGGTGAAATCTCAAAAATCTGCAAAGAGTGCAGGCTTTATTACCTAAATGTAATCGATATAATTTTCAATAGTAAATGTCAGGCCAAATTCTTGTGTGAACTATGGAAAAAGCCATACAAGGAACTTTGAATGGAAGGCAAATACTTAGGGCACTTATTTCCCAGTTTTGTGATTTTTTTCCTTGTTCATCTTTTACTTTCGTTTCTTCTATTTCTTTTACCTCTCGGCTTTGATGTCTCCGCTTACCTAAATTGCTTGCGAACTCTAATTATTGGTTTCTTGGGAACTTATTAAGAGCGAATGGCACTGCAGAAAGAGAACCAGTTGGAACTCAGATGAGCTGAGCTACGAAGTTCGGGTTTCTTAAGGACGTCCATATAGAGATCTACATATTTATATTGACAGATAGATGATAGATCTATTGAGAGCTTGTGGAAATTACACTACACATCATTTTATTCAGAATTTACCTGACATATTTTATTCCTAAATTTATTGAAAATTAATAGTATTTTTGATTTTTCACAAATCTATTATCTCATTAACATAATTCAAACTAATACCAATCTTTTAACACTAACAGCTCGCCATTCCCCATATTGACTCAAAATCCCCAATTTAACACACTGAATTATTGCCCAAATTTCATCTACCATATTCAAACCCCATACTACTCCTAATTCACATCACGTTTCTGTTAGGAAATTATTGAGAGCAATTACCCAAAGCTCAAGCCCACTCCACCAGGCCCAAGTGAGGTTCCATCCCAAAACCAATTGGTAATGGGTGGATTAGCCCATTTGGGTTATATGGTGAATTTATTTTCTTCCCACAACCGATGTGGGACTTGTTTGCTCCAACGGTTTCTAATAAACTACATTTCGATCAACTGCAAACCAGACACACTAGTTACAGACACTCTCATGGAAACTCCTAATCGTCGTCTATCAATGGGCTCGAGGAAGAACAAGCAATTGCGGTATTCAAACTATCACCGGAGATGGTGGAGCTAAAGAATGAAAATTGGGAAACTCATCGACGTATTCCTCAAACCCATTGTACACAACTAGTAGATGACACAAAGAAAACTCCCCCAAACAATAATAGACTAATAGTAGAAAGAGGCACATAGATATGGTAGTTATCGACTCCTCTTCGAAGAAGAATAAATTTATCGAGCAACCCAACCACATATAACCCTTTTTTTTTTTTAATGTGTTTGTCAATATGTAATGTAGTAATCCATTGTGAATTGCCTTTGCCAAAATGAAATTTGAATTAGAGCCAAAATTAAAACTACATAGTCAGTGAACAAAAGCATTGTTAGTTGTTTTGATTTGATTTAAATATATTTCATTTTCGAACTAGTAACATGTAGTCAATAACAATATACCATTAAATTAATTTTAAAAAATAAAATAAAATTGTAATGTATCTTGTTGTGTTATGTTCATTAGACAAGTAAAATCACATTCATGTGCTTCGGTAATATGCAATCTCATCTCTCGATTAGCTGATATCCAGTGCAAATTTGACTTGCAACATACTTATTTGTTACAGTAGAACTCACCATTCCATTTCTCATTATCTGCGACATTTTTAGAAATATTTTGCTATTTGGCATGATCCCCTATTGACGATGTACATCGTTTATGAAGCATTGTGACTTCAAATAATTCATTGAGAAGCCGGTAATATACCAGATTTTGGCGGAACACGAATGTACTGTTACGTGTCATTTTTTCATTTTTTTAAGGTAAAATGTTTCTTACACTACTATGTTCTATACACGAGCAACAATACACATTAATGTTCAAAAACATGGTACTTTTTTATTGAAGTATTACGCAGAAATCTAGAGATTGTGAAGCTAGTAAGTTTTTTTTATATATTGGTGCATAAACTTTTGATGTTCTGCTTAATGAAATCCTGGGTTCTTCAAATTTCTTACACGTGTGCATTCATGTAAGAAAAGCTCATTTACTATTAGAGGCCGACATTGGTTGATGATATTTACACGATGCACTTAATAAGGTGAAGGCAATCCTCCCCCTAACAAGCCGATTTTGTTAGGTTGAGTTGAATCCAATATCCTGTCTAATATGGTATCAGAGTAGGTCCAGTTTTGCAATGTTGAGTGCAATCAAATATCGATTTGTTCACAATTGTTTGGCATGGTCTACGCTGTGCGTGAGGGGGGTGTATTAGTGTCCCACATTGGTTGGTGATATTTACATGATTCACTTAATAATGTGATGACAATCCTCATCTAACAAGTCAGTTTTGTTAGATTGAGTTAAGCTCAATATCCTTTCTATTATTTACTACTCTTTAGTATCATTTTAGTGGATAATTGAGGATGATGCAATGACCAGTGACATCCCTTTTATTTGTTCAAAAATAACGTTTTCAACTTCCCTCTCAGCTGGTCATGATATATGATATGTTAATAACTATTTTCTTAATAAGGTGCACTTGCTGGATGCTTTAGATCTGTTAGATTAGCTCATTTGACCTTCTATTCATTTTGTTGTTCGAAGGATCGTGAAATCCAATGCATATGAAGGAATTTAAGAACAATGTAATTAGGTGAGTGTCCATACAAAAACATGCTTATGTGTTGCAGACGCTGTAGGCTTGTATTAATTACTTAAAAGAATAGTTTTTGATAGCAGTTTTCAAGGAGGGCAAATATGCTTTGAGCCTGGCCCAATAGCAAGGTTCTTTCAAGGATTCAGTATTAAGGGATAAAATTACACATCGAATAAAGATGAAAATATTGATCAATTTATAAGAGTTTGTGCTACTTCTCTTAATAAGATTGACTTTTTAAAATGGATCTCCAAATTTTAATATGGTCTTAGAGCCAATTAATCTTTTACGAGCAATTCGATCCGATTAAGATTAAAAAAAAAATTGAGCACAGAGATTTTAAGATTGGTCTGCTCAAACGAGCCACCATCTTCCATGTTGAAGGATAAAATCTCACATCAAATAAAGATGAAAATATATACCAATTTATAAGAGTTTGATTTGCTTCTCTTAATAAAGTTAACATTTTAAGATGGAATCTCAAATCTTAACATTCAGTTTGCTGCTATCTAAAAGCATAGCAATTAAATGCATTCGCAATACCATTAAAGTCAAAATAGACATGAGTGTAGCACTTATTTCTCAAAGGCTTCTGGTAATCAAAGTAAAGTGTGGACATTTATTCTGACTTTCCAAATTGAAGATCTCACTCTTGGAGCTTTTATAATCCAAAAATTTCACCCCCAGTCCAAACATAATATGATGCCTAATCCTCAAACACATTACAAATCAAACAATTTCTGAGTACAGTTTCATCCAACATATTCGTGAAGTCAACAACCAAAATCAAAAAACAAAACAAAGAAATAAATTTACACAACTAGATCAGATTTCTTAACATTCTGGCAAAATCAATCAATCCAGTACAATATAGATAATCAGCAATTACTCGACATTGGCATTACATCACAAAATGAAAAATTACAGAATACCTATACACAAGATACCAAAATCCCAGATGATAACACAATCGACATGAATATTGTTGGAATTGTATTCAATTGTCCATGCAGATGAAAACTTGCTACTAATCCTCCTCCCACTGTGTTGTAGCAACTTGATAAGTGTATTTTTATTAAATTGGAGTATTTGTTAGTGATTTAGATAAGTTATAGCATAATTTTGTGTTAATTACGTTTGGTAGGTTAAATTCAATACAAATTGGTGGAATTGGAAGAAAGAAACAAAAAAAAAAAAAGGGCAAAAAGAATACAACTTGGGCTCTGATACCACTGTTAGGGAATTATTGAGTGCAATTACCCAAAGCCCAAGCCCACTTCACCAGGCCCAAGTGAGGCTCCATCCCAAAACCAATTGGTAATGGGTGAAGTAGCCCATTTGGATTATATGGTGGATTTATTTTCTTTCCACAACCGATGTGGGACTTGTTTGCTCCAACAGTTTCTAATAAACTACATTTCGATCAACTGCAAACCAGACACACTAGTTACAGACACTCTCATGGAAACTCCTAATCGTCGTCTATCAATGGGCTCAAGGAAGAACAAGCAATTGCGTTATTCAAACTATCACCGGAGATGGTGGAGCTAAAGAATGAAAATTGGGAAACTCATCGACGTATTCCTCAAACCCATTGTACACAACTAGTAGATGACACAAAGAAAACTCCCCCAAACAATAATAGACTAATAGTGGAAAGAGGCACATAGATATGGTAGTTATCGACTCCTCTTCGAAGAAGAATAAATTTATCGAGCAACCCAACCACATATAACCCTTTTTTTTTAAAATGTGTTTGTAAATATGTAATGTAGTAATCCATTGTGAATTGCCTTTGCCAAAATGAAATTTGAATTAGAGCCAAAATTAAAACTACATAGTCAGTGAACACAAGCATTGTTAGTTGTTTTGATTTGATTCAAATATCTTTCATTTTCGAAACATGTAGTCAATAACAATATACCATTAAAAGTTTTTTTTTTTTTTAAATCTTAATGTATCTTGTCGTGTTATGTTCATTAGACAAGTAAAATCACATTCATGTGCTTCGGTAATATGCAGTCTCATCTCTCGATTGGTCGATATCCAGTGCAAATTTAACTTGCAACATACGTATTTGTTACAGTAGAACTCACCATTCCATTTCTTATTATCTGCGACATTTTTAGAAATATTTTGCTATTTGGCATGATTCCCTGTTGACGATGTACATCGTTTATGAAGCATTGTGACTTCAAATAATTCATTGAGAAGCCGTTAATATACCAGATTTTGGCGGAACACGAATGTACTGTTACGTGTCATTTTTTCATTTTTTTAAGGTAAAATGTTTATTACACTACTATGTTCTATACACAAGCAACAATACACATTAATGTTCAAAAACATGGTACTTTTTTATTGAAGTACTACGCAGAAAGCTAGAGATTGTAAAGCTAGTAAGTTTTTTTTA